CAAATAATTAAAGGGGGCTCCCCTACTAGAAACGTATTTTACGATGGTACGGAACCCTTCATGCGCGAGTCTGACTCGCACTTGGCCGGCTTTTTTCTTATTCATCAGTCCTGCCAGTGATTATAGGCCAGTGTAAATTAATGAGAAGTTTAGGGCTTCCTGCCTTCGGCTTCTAATTTACTTAAAATTAAACCTCTTACCTGTAAAGGTAACAACTTTAATGACATTATTTTGAAATTAGCCTTAATTTGGTTCTCGTTACACATAAAAAAATGAGATTATATTATGTCACTATAGCCTACAAACGACCTACTTTAAAATAAAGACCTATCACAAGGCAGAAAGTTTTGGATAATCACCACGCCAGGCAGACGTTGTTCTGCCCTTTCCAACGACCATTCCTATAAAATCCTTAAATTCGCAATAAAAAATTTTGAGGGTCATTTAGCGGGATAAAAACTATCCTATCTCTCAAGTTGGAGCACACAGTGTGCAAAATTTCACTGAAATCAGTTTAGTAGTTTAGGAGTACATCGCATACAAACGTAATCTATACAAATAAATAAAATTGAAGTGTCTGTTTGTAATGTCAAAATTACAGTTATTTACTAAATGCATATGAAAGTAAATACGATACCTATAAATAAAATACAATTTTTAAAATGTTTGTCTGTCTGTCTGTCTGTCTGTCTGTCTGTTTGTTCCGGGTAATCTCCAAAACGGCTGGACCGATTTTGACGGGACTTTCACTGGCAGATAGCTGATTTCATAAGGAGTAACATAGGCTACTTTTATTTTAGAAAAAGAATCAGGGTTCCGCGCAGATACATAAAAACCCTAACACGCGAACGAAGTCGCGGGGAACAGCTAGTTTTTATATATAAAGATGATAAAAGATGATTCAATTATGCATTCTCTAAAGCCTCCTCACAATATCTATTCGGTAAACATTGCACGAAAGAAGCCTCCCCAGGTAAGGTACTGAATTCCTATCTACGTTGCCTATTCCTTGACAATTAACGAGTTCTTCGTTAGCAGTTTGGCTAATCCTTCTTTGGAGATAGCAAATCTCAGTCCTTAACATTAGTAACATAAGATCTTTTCGGTATAAACAGCAATTTCATAAAAAAGAACCTAATTTTATCTATGTTGTTGTGCGACTGGAACTTTCGAATTATAAGTATGTAGTAAGTAATTAAAGTGACCGTGTAATAGCGGTGTAAGAATATGTACTACCCCATAATATCGTCCCGTGTGTATCATTAAGCGGCAATGGAAGGAAAAACTAGTTTGTTTCCGTCTGTCGCCGAGATGAGCAGCAGCATCTTCCTAATAACAACTAAAAAAATAAAAAACAGCAGTTGCCAACTCGTCTGCCAAGCGAGGCAAACATGGAAAATATTCCCCCTATCAGTCAATTTATTGGGAAGGCCTGTATTAAGTAGGAGAATTTTCATAGGCTGTAACGGTAACGGATAGTAGTTCAACACTAGCGATTAAGTAAAAAAAAAAAACAAATTGGTCGAGTTACATTTAACTGCCTCACCTATTCTAATAAATTATCTGCAGGTGCTTACAAACCGCGCCCGGTGACATCATAACGAGGTATCTATGTTGTATATCCGGCAGTTAGGCCGGCCACATACATACGGAATTCCGTTTCGAGATTCCGTTTCGATATTCCGATTTGGGATTCCGAACGCAGCAAGTCCATATAAAATCTATGACCCGCCACACACGTACGTTATTTTTCCGTACGGAATTTCTCCGATTCGAGATTCCGTATGATCGTCTGTGCGTTCGGGATCCCGAATGGAAAAAAGCCGCTCCGAACGCACGTCTTCCATAGATTTTGTACGAGTCGCAACATACATACGTAAATTCCGTACGGAATGCGCTCAGTGTTCGTCGCACGACCGAAGCGAGTAGGTGTATTTATGTATGTTTTTAAATTTAATCTTGTAGGTGTATAGCTTTTCGTATCCTTTCATTTTATTTTATTTAATAATTCCTCGATAGAATTTACATACATAAATATTTAAAAAATAGATAGGTCTTTTTACATATACATACTGGATAGATAGATCTTTTTACATAGTATTGACTATATTGCAAGCTTAGGGTGATAAGGGGATGCACCTAGTAAGAATGATACAGCAACAATGTAATTTGCAATTAGAAAATCGTCGTCATTATTCGCTGGTAGAATGTCTAGACTCAATGGCTAACGTCTCTCAACTGACCCTTGTTATTCCGAACGGAAAAAAAACGTGTGTGTGTGATGTATTCACGGAATCCCGATTCGGGATTCCGAAACGGAATCACGAAACGGAATTCCGTATGTATATGGCCGGCCTTATACAGACTGGGCGGCAACTTCACTTACAGGACTATAATAGACCATTATACTTATTAACTCAGACAAACTAACTGCACAACAGACGGTCTCCAAGTTACAAGAGCTGGGGTTGGAAGCTCTCCGTCATCCGCCGTACTCACCAAACCTTGCGCCTACAGACTTCTACTCTTCTTACTTTAAAGAATTAGGATACCTTTTTGTCAAGAAATAAAATTCTATACCTAAGGGGTCCCTCCGTCTCAGAATGTTTACTACAGTTTATGACCGAGTTGACTAGTGTTCAGCGTGCCTAGCTAATGTTTAGCGGACCCTTAGTTCAAATCAAGATCGCTGAATTAAGATCGGTGATCGATGATAAACGATCGATGAATTAAGCACAACACGTACAGTTACGAAAAGAAACAGGAGAGAATAGCGTTGGTATAGTACAGTAGTTTATCAATACCATTTAATATCAGCACAACGACCTCTTTCTTTATCGTTATACTCCTTCAAAGTACACTGCTGAATCTATGTTCTATTCCTACCTATTCCTATCCCGTAGATTGCCTCATAAAGGCGACATTTGCTATTGTTGCCATACTTGGCAGGCGGGTTGGCAAACGCAGTTTTTTATTTTTTAGTTGTTATTAGGAAAACTGTGTTGCCCATTCCTCGTTTTGTTTCCCTCTGTCGCCTCATACGACACCCACGGGACAGAATGGGGTACTGGATATTCTTATACAGCCACTACACGGTTTCTCTCATTCAATTCAACTTCAACTCAAAATCTTAAGTTGAACTCTTTCTTTAATCTTTAATATTGTATAAACACGGACAACCCTCTCTCCAACGTTTCTTAATTCATTCAAAAATGACTATAAAGCTTACAAAACAATAAAATATAATTATATTAACAATTCAATAATGTAACCCTCTTGAACAAACCATATATAGAGGCGCTTATAGGTTCAATGATACAGAAAATGTAAAGAGAGTTCGCAAATACATTTTTTCACTTGGTGAAATACAAATATATAATATAGTTATATATGATTCTCTTTCCAATAGAATCGCGTTAATATCTTCAAATATCTGAACTCATCACATCCACTATCTGAATTTCAAACATAGTAAGACATCTATGAACCGTATATGGTACGTTACTTGGAATGTACCCAACGTACAAGCAACATCATAAAACGACAGTAAACACAAAGTTCTTGATTATTTATCTTGTTGAATCTTCTTTCGTAAAGGCCATTATTCGAGCAACCTTCGCAGTTTCGCGTCAGTTGAGAGGTACTTATGTACGTTGAAGCCGGAATTCTTTTAAATATATTGAGGTAAACAGAGCAGTATTATGATAATTTTAGAATTAACGTGATAGCACACACAAATGTGTAAAAACACGTTTAACTTGATCAACTTAACAAAACGATTTAAAAAACTAAATTAACGCAATAAATCTACAAAATAATTACAGAAAAAATTCACATCCTCGAGGGTTTAATTTTTTCTCTAAACTTTTATAGGACTACCCCTGGGGTGTAATCTACGAGGGTGGATTGAAAAGTACTCGGCCTAACACAGATCCATTCAATTCTAAAAATCAAATCTACCCACATTATTTAGTTCAGTTCAGACTAGTTCATTGTGTGAAGTTCGAAACGTGTGCGATAATTAGTTGTGATTTTATAAATTTATTAACAAAGTAATCGGACATAATTTCCGCAAATGGAGCAAATCGAGCAGCGTGCCGTCATTAAGTACCTCCATAAGAAGGGGCTATCATCAAAAGCCATCCATGATGACATGGTCAGTACATTAGGCGATTGTGCTCTGTCAAATTCATCCGTCAAAAAATGGATAGCAGAATTTAAGCGTGGTAGAGAGAGTGTGAAAGATGAACCCCTCTCTGGAAGGCCTTCGACGTCAACTACTGACGAAAATATTAAAAAAGTACTTGATTTAATAATGGGAGACCGCAGATTAAAAATTAGAGAGATAGCCGAGATTATAGGCATCTCTTATGAACGAACTCAAAACATCATTGTCAACGAGTTGGGTTTCCACAAGGTGTCTGCGAGGTGGGTTCCGCGACGGAAGAATCCGTAGAAATCCGTAAGGAAGAATCATTTTTTTTCAACGGTCTAAATGCTTGGAAGGGGAGGTGGCAAAAGTGTATTGAACTTGATGGTGATTATGTAGAAAAATAAAAATATAACTGATTTAGTATTTGTTTATTTTCTTGGTTAGGCCGAGTACTTTTCAATCCACCCTCGTATTTAATTCAAAATCATCAAAAACGGTTTACAATTTACGGAGACATCACATAACGTATTGTATACAAAAAGAAACATAGAGTCGAATTATAAACCTCTTCCATTTTTTTGAAATCGGCTAAAAATCATGTTTAATACAGAATCCTCTTTTTTTTCTAATAATATAAAAACGATCAACGAATTTAGAGGCCACCTGATGGTAAATCACTGACCCATCATTTGGTCCGCTACTGTACAACTCCTGAACAGAATGTATTAATAAAATATATACATTTGTGTTTTTTTGTCAGATTGATATGCGAAGGACTGAATGAAAAACCGTGTCATCAGAAACAAGACAAAGATCATAGACATAACACATGATGAGAGGACAATAGAAATGGAGTAAAATTGTGACACGATGGTACCCTAGAGAAGGAAAAAGAAAAATAGGTAGACCACAAAAAAGGTGGGATGACGATATCAGACAAGTGGGAAGAGTGATGTGGAACAGAGTGGCTCAAGAAAGTGATGAATGGAAAAGGTTGGATGAAGTCTTTGCCGACTGGCAAACAGATCTGCAGACAATAAGCAAGAACCAGATACTAGACTAAGTTATCATATTTTATGTGTAATAGAATACAAGTTCAATCTGAATAAAGAGCTATATTATTATTATGCGAAGGAGATCTATGTATATAAAATAAACACCTATTATTTCTATCTCTAAAAATTGTATAATTTTCAATGGGCTCATTTACACCCTAGGTGCTCGTTGGAAACAATAGATATCACTACCAATAAGCAGCAGCGGACCTACTGCTGTGTTCCTGTTTGAAGAAACCACCACCTCCGGTACAATTGCAGGCTGTGAGACATTTTTATGGATTGTGGGTGACAAACGTCAACGTACACGTCCAACTTATGGTACGTTGGGCCTGTACCTACATCTATCCTCGATTAATAATCAAAATGCAGATGCGTTGTCAACTTTTCACCCATGCGAAGTAAGGTGAAATGCCTTGTTACCAGTGAAAGGATCTACAATTTTTTTTATAGAATAAGGGCAGGTAACAAGCGAGCACACATCCCACCTTAAGTGGATGCTGTGGCCCATAGACATCTACATTTATCCTCGATTAAGAATCAAAATGCAGATTCGTTGTCACCCCTGATGACTAAGATGAAAACCCTCGTATCCACTTAAACGGGTCTCGGGTTTCTCTACACTCATAGCATGGTCCTTCCCCGGTCGAGCTGAAACATTCGTGCTACAACCATAATATAGCCGCAGCATGGCTCTACCATGTAGGGTCTACAATTTTCTATTGTCACCATATAAAACAAAGCAGCATTAAGCTATTATTTTACGCTAGTATTTAATGAGAGCGTAGTTCTTTCTTGATCTTGCTGATCCATTCGTGCAGCAAACGTAATAAAACTACAGCGTAAGCCTACCATTTTCTTTCCACTACTTCTCTATCTTTAGGGTTAACAATGAAGCTGTGATCTTCTTTCTTAAAATTAATTGAAGACGTCCTTGGACTGCTGAAGCCACTTACCATCGGGTGGACTACTAGTTGTTTCGTCACTCTATTTTTAAAAACATTTGCGCAAACAACAAACTGTTTGCGCTGGAACCCAGTGCGTCAAGGCCCTAAGTCGTAGTGTTATGATAATTCGGTACTTACCAGCAAGGTCTAGCGGCGAAGTTTCGTTAGAATTCAGTGACACGGTTACGTGGCGCCTCTACCTTGTGATGCGTAGATAACAATATTTACCATATATCATAATATTATGATATGATATTTATAAAAGATGTCATACTTCTTTATCCTGTTTCATGAGGTCCGTCAAAAAATTACGTATGTATATATGTTTCGAATGAATTTGGAATGGAAACTTTGGAATTGTTTTCTACGACAAAGTACGGAAAATGTAAAAAAAAATACTTTGAATACATTATACACTTATAAGTTTGTCTTAATATATATAATAAATACAGCCTTAATCTCACAGAGGTCATATAAGATCAAAGAGAATATAAGTATAAACATAAAAATATACAACAACTAGCTGACCAGGCAGACTTTGTTCTGCCCTTTCCCACGACCATTTGCTTTCCTAAAAAAAACTTCTGAAATTAGTAATAAAAAAATTTAGGGTCACTTATCGGGATAAAAACTATCCTAACTCTGAAGTTGGACCAAACTGCACACAGTGTGCAAAATTTCATTGAAATCAGTTCAGTAATGTTTAGTTTCATCGCGGACAAACCATGTGACACGTAAATTTACATTTTTTTAGTTAGTTTATAATTTACATTTTTTTTGGCTAGTGGCCAAACCACAATTTTGTTTTGTAGGTGTCGTAAGTGCAACTATGTGAGAAACCATAAATTTTTCATAGCTGTCGATAGGTGGCGGTATAAGCCTTTCGTTTTTTTTAATAGGATAGGGTGACAAACGAGCACACAGTCCACCTGATGGTAAGTGGTTGCTGTGGCCCATAGACGTCTACATCTATCCTCTTGCGAATCAAAATGCAGATGCGTTGTCACCCGTGAGGACTAAGATGGAATGCCTCTTTTCCAGTAAAAAGGGTATCCGGTTCTCTACACTCACCATACGAAACACAGCAGTTTTAAGCTGCTATTTTACGCTGGTATTCTGTGAGAGCGTGGTCCTTCCCCCGTCGAGCCGACCCATTCGTGCTACAACTATACTACTAATAAAGCTGCAGCACGGCTCTACCACGTAGTCATACTGTACGTAATATACTCATATCGGCGACAGATATTAACGTCAAAACGATGACGTTTTACCATCGATTGCGTCTTACAGAACAATCTCCTACGCGTCAACCAAGCGTGACGTTTAAGGAAAATCCTCCCTACAACGGGTAACGCCCATCCCATTTCCAACGATATACTTTTAGGGATCGATTAATAAGAATATTCTTTACATCGCCTGCGTTGTAGCGTTACGCAACAGAAAAATTTGCGTTTATTACAATACACTCTCTACCTAATTTTCAAATTGAATAGGCTTTTGTAAGACTATCCGATTTACCATTTAAGGCTTCATCGCTACTCATACTTGGGATTGTATTATAATAAGTAAAAACAGACGTCCTTAATACATAGGTAATGGATATGTAACGTGAAGGGTCATTTGGCAAAAAAATCATTTTTTAAGGGTTTTAATGCATTAAGAGAAGTTTTGTGACAAAACACAGATGCCCGCAATTATGATGAAAAAAATCTAACAGATCCCTATACCACAAAGTTAGTTAATGCATCATCATACAAAATCCGCAATTATCCTATTTACAGACATATTAATGTAGTTATATTTACTGGATTTGGCACGGCCGGATATAGAAGTTGGCTTAATAAGTTTGTCGAATTATCTTAGTACACGAAACATAATTTATCGCCGAATTTATGAGTCCAAAGCACGAATGTTTTGTAAAAGGCTTATGACTGCTTGTTCATTCTATTATAAATGGAAATAGTTTAAAGACATCAAATATAACATTTTTATAACGAAAAAGTAAAAAATAAATTAATTTAATAAAGTCCCTCCCTAAAAGAAGCCCTGTTACAAAGGTAGGAGGGCGCCCTACCTTCCGCTCATCGGTACGAGACTGCCACTCTAAAAATCTCTAATAAGATATAAACTTTTGGATAAAAGATAATACAAGCATTAACGAAAGACTTCATCCTTATAATCATCATCGCAGCGCTAATAACCCTTCACTATGATCGCAGTAAAATATCGAATGATATTTCGATTTCACGAGCGTCTACTAACGTCGCAGTCAGCAACATTACGACGCAAAGCTAGCAAGGTTATTATCGATTTGTATATAAATATAAAATTACGGCGTTCTACTACAGTAGGACTCCTTGTAACTGCACTGCAGCTTGCAGATATCTTAGGAAGCATAGCGAGAATATAATATACTAGCTGATACCCGCGACTTCGTCCGCGTTGCTTGATATATCAAGAAATCACACATCACTGAACACGTAGTGCTTATAAAATCGTTGTTTCTTTAAACTTTAATAACTTTATATTAAATAAAGATATCGCAAGTTTTTTTTTTTAGATAAGGGCCAAGTTTCTAAGAAATTAAACTTAGAAAACCAAATTGAAACATATCCAGTAGTTTTTCCGTGATGCGCACAAAACTGCAAACCTGTATCATTTATTTATATAGATTATATTATATAAGACTGAACCCGCAACTTAGATATCACTTTTGATCACATTTTGACATACAACAATTTTGATCACAAAATATCATATAAAGCAGAAACAAAAACGCAATCTTACAAAAAATACCCTCATAGTAACAAAGAAAGACGAAGCGCTTGCGTAAATTTCAAGTGACACAATAACCATGCTCAACTTAGTATAAGAACAAGCAATCACGTAGGTACAGATAGCATCTAAAATCACCTGCAACGTAGAACATGGTTTTATAGGTGCATACGTGAGAGTCCACAAGTGAACTTTTACAGATCAATAAAGAAAGAAAGAAGAAACTTTGCCGGCATTTCCCCGCATCCTCTTCCTATTTTGGATGTATTCACTAAGGTCACTTTTTGAATATTTTTTTATAAAACTAAAACAACAAAGAAACATGATGATGATTAGTGGCTAGTGTGGTCCATGAACACCAGTAATCCACTTCAAACAAAGAAACTGGTTTTAGGGCAGCATATTTAACTCTGTGAAATATTAACTCAATATCCTCATATTCACGAATGGTGAAGTACAGATGACGTTATAACCTAATAGTTATGCAGCGATAACAGCACATGTATCACGTTCCTGAATTTTATTACCACATAAAAACTTATTTGATGCGTGAAACCTTTTATTAATTAATTTTTATTAGATTTCCTAAATTGTTAAGTAATTTACACCTTAAAGTTATTAAATAAAGGCATTATTTTTGCTTAATCATTGTGATGGTCGGAATTTATAAAACAATATCGCCTCGAACATGTCTAAAAACTAAAGGTAAATTCCAGATATATCTAATAGAATCCGAAAACTAAGTTAACCAACCCACAATCGATAAAGTGCTTGCCGAATGAGGCAATTTTGGTAAATCCTATCAACATGGAAGATACCTTTGTACACCAATAGACTTTTTTTACAAACAGCGTATAGCAATTCAAAATCAAACATTTTGAATTTTTCTCAAAACAAAAAAGAAAACAAAATTGAAATTATATTACAAAATAACATTGTATTATCTAAGTGTGTCATTCAGTTAATGCATCATTATTTTATTTATAGTACTAGTGATATGATTGTACTATAACGAAGCCAATATGACCCGAAGAGTCAACTTCAGACTTGATTAAAAACAAGGCCAATTTCTCAATTTCCAACAATTCCTCAGACAGTTTTAATTATGTAACATTAGCAAATATGGAAGAGTAAAGTTAACACTGACCGCGTACTTAGAGGTCAGTGTAAAAAAATTAAAAATTCTCAACTGCAATAACTTTCCTTCTCCAAGCTATTCCATCACAAATAAGAATAATTCTTGTTAACGTGTTCACCACTATGGACCACAGCTTTTTCTCCATCAG